ACCCAGAGTTGAAAATCCCATGGGGCAGGCCAATCAGAAACAAACAATAGTCCCAGAGCTCCCCTGGCATCATCAGGGAACTGGTCAAGTCTTCTTTGAGATGGCTCCTGCTAACTTGATGCTGGGTCAGCACAGCCTCTCATTGGCAGATCTGCCATATCTGAGTGAGGTGTCTAATACTAAGCAGACCTGAGAGAGTGTCCTAGTTGCTGTGACCTGTGCAGGGCATACAGATGACTCAGATGTATCCAGTGCAGCAAGTACAGTGGTCGGAACATGGAAACTTCGGTAAGAGGACTTTGCAAAGAGGTGAAAAACCAGGACACAGGTTTTAATAGCAGGGCAAGCAGGCTACCCCAGAAGGCTAACAAGGTCACATGCACCTCAGTATAGACTAGCTCAAGGGTAGGGACAGGTATAAGCAGCTACACCCTATGGAGAAAGCAAGGACCCTGAGTGGATCTGACATTGCCAAGCCAAGCTCTGTTCCCCTCTCAGATGCCATGTCGGCTGGGAGGGACCACCAGTGAACACTGGCCTGGATGATGGAAGGGGACACAGGCCCAGGTGCTGGGTTCCTGTTCATCTCCTGGAATAGATGCGCTTTAGGAGCTCAGCTCCCAAAGTAGATAGGGAGCTATCTATTTTATCCAAGATACTATTTTTGGTAAGCTGGGTTTGTTACCATTAAGACAAAAATAACCCTTTTATTATAAAAAATCAGCTTGTGTACACGTCGGGCCATTTGCAATTCAATAAGAACATTTTTACACCTTTTGTGTGCTAAATATGGGAGGGAACCTAGGGGAACATTTTAGTGAGAGACTCACTGCTTGGGTGTGTGGGTGAATGAAGAGAATATGGAAAGCCCCCAGCACAGTGTGTGAGTTCTCTGCCAACCCATTTAGCAGAAAGTCTAGGTAAATGCAGACAGTGGGAGATAACATGATAGGAAGGATTGGTTGGAAGGCATATGGGTTTGATTCACAGACTCACTGTATTAGTTATCAGCTTTGTGACTTGGGAAAAGTCACTCCCCCTAGGTGAGGCTATTCCTACCCCGTGAAATGATGGTGTCGATGTCATAGGGTCATTGTGAAGATACAAGATAAAGTGCTTTGCATGCTGCACCACGATTGATAGAAAATGACATTCGAGGTAATTCAACTGATATGTATTGTCTTTTCTGTGTATGATCCAGTTCTAAATGTTTTAAATGTAAAAACCCATGTAATTTCATTAAGACCCTATGAGGTATATACTACTATTATTTCCATTTTACAAATGAGGAAATTTAATCCAAGTGATGTTTAAAGATATGTCAGAGTGTCAGACTGATAAGTGACAGAGTCAGGGTTGAAATCCAGGCTGCTGGGCTCCAGAGCCTGAATCCCAGTCACTGTGTACAGTACAGAGATCAAGGTGCCAGGTTCCAACCAAAGTCACTAATGCCAGAGGAGCATTTCCCAAGGCTTGGCACATGGCAGACGCTCACTGACGGACAGATATCACTGTGAACGTTGTGGCCATTGGAGCCAGACCATCTGGATTTCAATCCCAGTTCTAACACTAGTGACCTAGTGTATTAGGGACCTATTGATGTGTAAAAATTACCCCAAAACTTAGAGGCTTGAAGCAACAAATACTTACTATCTCCCACAGTTTATGGTTACAGATCTGAAGGCAGATGAGTTGACTCTGAGCCAGGGTCTCTCACGAGGTTGCAGTCAAGGTGTCCATCAGGGCCGCACCATCTGAGAGCTTGACTGGGGACAGAGGCCCTGCCTCCAGATGGCGCACCCAAGTGCTGTCTGTGCTTGGAAGGTCTCTGTTCTTCAGTTGTGTTTGGGATGCTGAGTTCCTCTTCATGAGGTAGTCTCCATACAGCCACTGCAGCATCCTCTGACATGGTACGTCAGTAAACAAAGGGGGAGAGAGAGAGAGAGAGAGAAAGAGAGAGAGAGAGAGTGAGAGCAAGTGCAGGAGCACAAGGAGGAAGCCACAGTCTTTTATGAACTATTCTTGAAAATCATAAGCTATCACTTCCATTACATTATTCATTAAAATTAAATAACTAAATCCAGCCCACTTCAAAGGTAACAGAAATTCAACTCCACCACTTGAAGGGAAGAATATCAAAATTGCTTTTTCATTGCCACGCCAAGGGACATTAACCAACCTCTCTGTGCCTCAGTGTCTTCATCTTTTAAAATGGGTTAATATAAGTGTTCTTCAGAGAAATTTTGTGGGGATTAGGTAAGATAATTTACAAAAAGAGCCTAGATGGTACCTGACACACAGTAAGCACCCACATGTTAGCTATAATTAGCATTTATTTTCAGTTATGTTGAACATGGTGAAGTCTCTTATCTCTTAGTCTCATTTTTTTCACCTGTCAAATGGGAATAATAACATCTGCCCTGCTCAAGGTACTCAAAAGCTATTTGTTGGATATACATATGGATGAATTTATTGAACACATACTATATCCCAAGCCCTTTCCAGTCAGTAGGAACATATTAGCAAAAAAACCCACACAGAGTTTTTACCCTAATGGAACATACATTCCAAAGGGAGAAGGCCAAAAATAACAACCTGCGTGTAAACAATAAAGAAAATAATGGTGCTATATGCAAATAGAACCCAGTGAGGTGCCACTACACAGCCACCAGAACAGCTAACATTAAAAAGATTGACAACATCAAATGCTGGTGAGGATGGGGAGCTAACAGAACTCTCAAACATTGCTTGTGAGACTGTTAAATGGTATAATCACTTTGAAGAATGACTTGCAGTTTCTTGTAACACTAAACTTATACCTGTTCTGTTACTCAGCAATCCAGTCTTAGGTGTTTACCCAAGAGAAAAAAAATGCATCCACAAAAAGACTTGTATGAATGTTTATAGCAGCTCTATTCATAATTGCCCCAAACCAGAAACAGCTAAATGTCCATCAATGAGAGAATGGGTAAACTGAGGTATATTCACACAATGAAAATGAATTCAGCAATAAAAGATACAAACTTCCAATGTATACAACAACATGTTGAGTGAAGGAAGTCAGTCATGGAAGTACATAGCGTATGATTCCTTTATAGTTCTGGAAGATGCGAAACTCATCTGTGCTGAAAAAAATTAGAACAGTGGCAGACAGGGCTGATGAAGGAGTAGGAGGGAACTTTCCAAGAAGTTGGAGATGTTCTAAGTTGGCACTGGTCACTAGTGCTATTTAAATTTAAATTATTAAAGTGAAATACAATCGGAAATTTAGCTCCTCAGTCACAGGAGACACATTTCAATTACTTGATAGGCACAATGGCTAGTGGCCACTGCATCTGAACAGCACATACCTTTCCCATCACTGCAGATTCTTCCATCGACAGCCCTGGTCTGCATCTCGCTAGGGATGCATTTGTCAAAACCCATAGGATGATAAAGTTAAACTTGTGTATTTCACTTGTAAAATTTACCTTTAAATACATTGCCCTCAGTAAGGCTACATAGGCTGATGTGTTCGGTGGCAATGGGCACTGCTGTCTGCAGATGGCTTTGAAGTGCACCGAAGAATAAAGCAGACTGACAATGGGTGGGTGGATGGAGGGTGCATGGACTACAGTAAAGGAAATATAGTGAACTGTTAACTACAAAATCCAGGTGGTGAGCATTTTCCTCTGCATTGTACAGTTCTTTAAACTTTTCTGTATCAAAATTTTTATAGTAGAATTATGAAAAAAGATAAGGTGATGTCTTTTTTTTCTATTCTATAGTGATGTCATAGAACAGAATGACTATCAAGGTGGAGACGCATGGCAGGAAATTTTAGTCGGAAGTCAGAGAAGGAGAGGGAAGAGCTATTGCAGGTTTCACCTCCACTTGTGCACTCATTCACTCAGAACGCAGGCATGAATCAATCCTGGTCTCCATTTCCGCCCTTGAGTTCAGGAGATGCCATTAGAGCGACCAGTTGTGCTAGGGTGCTGAAGACTTACTATGTGGCATGGGTCATGGGACCCCACAGCCCATGTACTTTCCCAACTGCCACACTGCTTTCTTACTGGCCGTCTCTCTAACCTCAGGTTGGATCACTTTACCGTACTTCCAGAAAGATCCAAAAATGTCAGTTCCATGAGCGTGAGGACTTTGTTCACTACTTGATATCCACCATCAAGCACACCAGAGATACTCAGCAAGCATTGCTGCTGTCTGGACCACTCGCCTGCAGGGTTTCTGCGTGTTCTTTCTCATCATGTGTGTCTCCTTCAGCATCGCCTTCCACAACCGGCCTTTCCTAACCACCCCACCAGTCCCTCCACCTCTCCATCAACCCATTCCAGGGTATATCACAACATGCTTATTTATAGATTTATTTTAAAATACCAGTTTTATTAAGGCTTTGTGATGTTTACGAGGTATGTATTTGTTCTAGTATCAACCTCTCCCCAGATATTCACTGTTTGGTTCCTTCACACTACTCACACTTCCTGGAAGTATTTTGGCTGTTTTTGTAGGCATATTTGCTTTTTGTCTGTCTTTCCTTCCAACACCTAAGTTTCAGGATGTCAGGAACCCTATTTTGTTCGCGGAAAAGTGCTCAATAAATGTTTCAGGGACACAGGCTTGCTCCGACGGCCTGCTCCATCCTCGCTGCTACAGTGGAAGGAGGGGACCCAGGGCCAGGGGCCTGGGAGAATATGTGGAGAGCTGGAGAGTGGATGCTCCGGAGACAGTCCAGCACGCAGGTCTGTCTTCGAAGCCACGCTCCTCCGGCCCCGTCTCCGCGCGGGCGCATGTCCCTTGAAGGGCAGCGCGGCCACGCGCCTGGGTAAGGTGCACGCCGCAGCCTCGCTCTGGGGCTGGAGCCTGCGCGCTCGTTCCCCGCGACCCCCCACCCCTAACCCCCACCTGCCCGCGCGCTCCGGCTCCAGAGCTTTCTCCTCCCCGCATCAAGTCTCTCCGCCGGCCCCAGCTCCGCCGGCCGCGGCTAGAGGACTTGAGAGGCCATGATCTGCCTGGGTGGCTGGTGCGCGCGGTGGCCCCGTGGAGCGGCGGTCCCGGCCGGGCGGCGCTGGGCGGCGGGTGGGCAGGCGGGCCGGCCAGGCGCCCGCGCCCTGCGGGTGCTGGTGGACCTGGACGGCGTACTAGCCGACTTTGAGGGCGGTTTCCTCAGGAAGTTCCGCGCTCGCTTCCCCGACCAGCCCTTCATCGCGCTGGAGGACCGGCGCGGCTTCTGGGTGTCGGAGCAGTACGACCGCCTGCATCCCGGGCTGAGCGTGAGCATCCTGCGAGTCCCCGCGGTTCCACCTCGGCCCTGTGTCCCCGGGGGCAGGGAGACCCAGGCCGGCATTCCCAGCCCGGGCGGGGCAGCCTGCGTGACCTTGCGTGGGTCACCCCCCACCCCCGCGGAGCCTCGGAGTGATCGGAGTCCTGGAAAGGAGCCGGTGGGGGGGGACTGGGCAGCGACCGGGCAGCCCTGTGCTCAGTTACTATTGGCTGTCAACCAGGACCTTCTCAAAATTCAGGGGACTCTGAAGCGTAGTATACCTACCTCTGTATCATCAGCTGACTTTGAAATTTGTGGCGTATTTACCTTCAAGTCTTCTATTTTTTAGTGAAGTAAACATTACAAAAGTCCTCTTTAACCCCTGACGTAGGCATATTTCCATTTCTTCATTATCATGGATTTGTGTTTTTACCATTCTTTTCCCCCTTTCCATAAAAGCATAGCTCCCTGTGGAATTTGAAGCCCGGGGGGCGGGGGGCGTTGAGTGACTTTGTGGGCCTCACACAGTGAGTCCGTGGTCAAGTTGGCGTGGGATCAACTCCTCGGCTTCTCCCGGTGCAGCGCTCGCCCTGCCAAACCTGAGCTCTGCACACCGCCTCCCCGACCCCCGGTTCCCAGTGTGCTCTGTTCTCCGAGACCGTGATGGGGACCGCGGGAGACGTCCTGGCAGTCGTGCAGACAGATAGCTCGGTTTGTAAATTTAAGGTATTTCGTGAAAGGAACAGGTTGGTTTTTTTTGTTTGTTTTTTGCCACACACAAACTTAAAGCGTCTGGGTGTTTTTTGGCTTTCCTTGAGGCACCACTTCAGGTGACTGTCAGAGGATTTGATGATGATTTTAGAACCTATTTTGTACCACCTGTTGGTTGCATTACTTCTTTTCTGTGAGGTACACATTATTATCTCTGGTAAGGGGCTCAGGCAGGATTCAAACCTATGTACATCTGCCTCCCCAGCAGCCTTCTGACTTATAAAAGGCAACTTGACAATAATTTTGGTTTGTTGAGTGGGCAGGTGTTAAAAAGGAAATTAAGTGCTGTTTCTGGTTGTTAACACCAGGTATTTTGCTGGGCAACTTTCCCAGAGCCCAGGGCTGACTTCTCCCAGTCCTGCTACCTGATTAAAAACTTTAAACAGAAATACCCCAGTAATTTTTGCAGCCTCAGTAGCATGCTCTGCTGCTCTTTGTGCTCATTTATAGACAATGCTCAGCATTGGCAATCTGAGCACCTTATTTCCTCCCAGGAGTATGAGGGGGAACCCCTCAAAAATCCCAGAATTATCTTCAGGAGGGTGGGCCCCTTGTAGCACATGCTTCCCCTGCGAGGTGAGTGTTCTAAGAACCCATCTGTATCAGTGCACCAGCTGGCATTGTTGTGAGAGGCTGCGTTTGACCTCAGTGAATTTTTTTGAAGATTCTTTCAGTGTGTTTGCCCATCTCTTAATGGGTGATTCACAGCACACCTACCCACACCCACTAAGTGTTCATCAAAACTGATGAGCTCAAAACTGTTTTGAGCAGTAGAAAATAGAGGATCAAATGGAGAGTACTTTGAGGGTGACTGAAGTTTAAACATGTAAGAATAAATTCACAATTTTTATGAATAAACTGGTTTTTTTGCATCCCCCCTTATATAGTAGGGTGGTGAAACTAAGCCTACCCCCAACTCTGAAAAGGACAGTGGCTTTTTTAGTCTTTTGTGCAGAGGTGTAGCCTCCAGGTCTAAGGAGATGAATTGCCATTTTCCAAGTACAAAGAAAAGAACAGAGCTCATGCAGCACTAAGGTGGGGGTGTTCTGGGACTGATCTGCTGGTTTCTTCTGATTCTGACAGCATTGCAGAAAATGGGATTTAAATAGATGGACACATGCCTTTTATCACCAGCACAGCTCAGCAGGGTATCCTTGTGTCTCCCCTTGGCCCAGCTGGCCCTGCATCTCTGGTTGAAAACAACCGACCAATTTACCAACCCAGCTTACATATGTAGGCATTTCTATGTTAGAAAATACCCTCTATGCATATTCCGTTTGATCTTCACGGCACCCTGAGAGGTGATCATGGCAGAGGTGGGAGGCATAGCTCACCTGAATTCATTTAGAATCTCACACTGTTAGGACTGTTGAGGAGCTGAGCCCAGAGAGAGCAAGTGCCTTGACCAGGGTTCAGAGCAAGTGAGTGAAGGGAGGAGGGAAGAAATGCTGGGACGCTGATGGTGAGGTGAGGCGTTTAGCCCAGGGCCACACAGCAATAACCAGGACTTCTGACTGCTCCATGGAGCTCATCTTCCACCATGCTACACAGCCTCCAGGGGAGTTAGGAGCCCCAAGTCAAAGTTCTGATAGTGACACCCTAAGTGGCCTCAAAAAAATCTGTTAGCTTCAGTTTCCTTGTTTGTAAGTTGGGGATAGCAATTCTTACCCTTTGTGGGATGTGAGGGTCAAAGGAAAAACATGTTAGCAATAAACACACATTTGCTTAACTCCGCATAGTCGCCAGTGTGACCTCAGTCACACTACACCCGCTCACCTCACGTGGTGGTGGCACCTGTTCTGGGATGTGGACCTTCTGACCTGCCGGAGGCACTTCCTGCACAGCACGCAGGACTTGGGTTCTTGCTTCTCAGAGGTGGAAGTTTGTCTGTCCTTTCATTGTCACTTTACCCTGGCCCCACCCCTGGACAGGTGTGGCATTCTGCAAACTTGGTTTTGGCTCAGCAGCAGGAGGTTGAAACTCCTAGCCCCGGGTTGAGAGACGGAGGTTCTCCTGCTTGACCACTGTGTTCCAGTGTGACATTAGGTAAATCGCTTCTGCTTCTGAAGCAATTTACCTGCTTGGTTTTCTCATGCAAATGAGGGACTGGATTCTTGGCTTTCGAACTTTAAAGGCTGCAGAATTCTTTCTTTTAAACAGTGTTTCTTCGAAGCCCAACCCATAACACAGGGGATAGAGCTGTTCTGATTGATGAGCCTGGAACTCTGACCATTTGACTATCCACCCCCAAAATATGCACCCGCCCCTGCCTCCCCAACCATGGCATAGCAGTGCTCTAAAGGATCTCCATGAGTTTGTGTGGCTCTTGAATTTAAGGACTCTGGAGTGTTAACCAGTGGTCACTGGCATCAATTCAACACCAACAGGAATCCTCAATTTGGGGGGCAGTGAAGAAGGCAACTTTATTCAGTGCAAACAGCTCAATTGTGATAGAGCAGGGCTGCAAAAATAGCTCACTAGTGTTACAACTCCATTATGAAGCTGCAGGGCAGTGAAACTGGGGCACCCCTCTCCAGCTAGACAACTCCACTCCGTTTCTGCCTGGTCTTGTCTTCCCTGGTGTGGGGATGTCTTCAGCAGCTCACCTCCAGCTGGGGAAGCCCAGCCTCCAGTCTTCAGTGAAAAGGGAAATCGACCTCTGTGCCAGAGGTGAGCTGACTGATATAGACCCAAGTCCCTGTCCTGGGTCCCTGATTGGTCTGTCCTCATGCAAATAAGGACTCCAAATCTTTACAGTTTGATTGTTACAAAAAATCACTGTCCTGGTTGATCAGAATGGAGCTGCTTTGATTGGTTGGTGAAAATGCTGATGGGAATATAGGTATACAGCTCTAATTAGATGAGGAAAGCCTTGGTCTTATTGGTTGAAACACCAGGAACTCGTTTATAAAGGCTGGCTCACATGGGAGGAACACAGTTCGGGTAGGCAGTTTAGTGCAGGATTCTCCCTTAAGTGTGGTTTGTGTGAGAGACCCCTATGTAGATATGACTGCTAGACTGTTTTTTAAAATTTGAGTCCAGTTAAGCTAGTGAGAGCCCTTCTTAGTAGGTGTCTTCTTTCTTAGGGTCTACAAGTGCCATGGCAAGACCTGGTCCATCCTCAGAGCTTCCAGCATGCCTCTGGCCATTAGAATCAAGCAAACATGTTGTTCTTGATGTTTGGTCCCTCGAAGCTTTGTCTGTGCTTCCAGCAGAGCAGGCTTTGGAAGCCACAATCCCTGACACCTTAGCTGGCCTTTGCTGGACCCTTGCAGAAGTCAGGCCCCGCTTTGGGAGCACTGGAACTCAGACATGCTCCATTGGATTCCCCTCCTGCCTGGAAATATGTCCTTGGGTGTGTGTGTGGTGGAGGGGCAAAAGGAATGTGGAAGGCCCACCCTCTTCTTATTAGCAGCCTTTTTCAGCTATGACATCCTCGTTGCCAGGAGGCAAGGTGTGGATGGCCCTGGACTCACCTGCTTCTCTCTTCAGGAGAAGGCCATCAGCATATGGGAGTCAGAGAATTTCTTTTTTGACCTTGAGCCTCTGCCAGGGGCTGTGGAAGCTGTGAAGCAGATGGCCGACCTAGAAAAGTAAGTTTGTCTTCCCACTCCAGCATCTGCACCTTCCTGCAATCCCTCTTTTGCTTCTATCCACTCCCTCTCCTTCTCCTTTCTCTCTCTTCACACCCTGCACAGGGCCATGCCTTTCCATCATCACTTGACCTGATGCAAAACCTAACTGAATAAAACAGATTCCACTGGTAGGATATTAACATACTTTGATTCAGCAACTTGAGAAAATATTGAGTCCAATTTGACATGGTTCACTAGGTGTTGAAAGTTCATTTACTCAACAAATATCTGAGAATGACTTAGATGCCAATGATGCAGAAACAAAAAAAACATGGTTCTTGCTTTCAAGAAGTTTACAGTTCAGCCAGAGAGCAGATGTTAAACAAAGAATCATGCAAATGAAGATAATCATAGATTGTGATAAGTTCTGAAAAGAAAAGAGTACAGTGTATGAGGAGGTGTAATAGGAGATGTAATGAGAAAGGGCAGCAATGAAGCAGGAGGGGTATCATGTGAGATAGCTCTGTTTTGTTCTGGTACAATGATTGGTTCTGTGGACTGAAGTCTGTACTCCACCCCCATCCCGTACCATCCAGTGAAGCCTGTTAGAGGTTACAGATCATGTGCTTCCCTGAGAACTTGGTTTAAATAGACTTACTGAGATATAATTCACAGACCATACACCCATTTAGTGTTGCAACTTGATGGTTTTTAGAATATTCACAGGGTTGTACAACTGTCACCACAGTCAATTTTAGAACATTTTCATCACCCCCAAAAGAAACCCTATACCCATTAGGAGTCACTCCCCATCCCTGCCCCTCTCTCTGTAGCTCTGGCAACTACAATCTACTTTGTGTCTGTAGATTTGCCTATTCTGGACATTTCATATACATTTAAGATAAAATGTGGTCTTTTGTGACTGGTTTCTTTCACTGAGCATAGTGTTTCCAGGTTCATTCATGTTGTAGTACAAATGAGCATTTTATTCTTTCTTTTGTTTTAATGGAATTTGTATTTAATTAGGCCATGGCATTTTCAAAGAGAAATGTGCCTCTACTGAGACACACTTTTCTGATTTGCATACCCTATATCACTTTTTAAAATTGAGATATGATTGACATATTATGTTCATTTCAGATGTCTAACATAATAATTTGATATTTGTGTATACTGTGGCCATTACTTTTCATTACTGAATAATATTCCATTGTATAGCTATGTCATATTTTCTTTATTCATCAGTTGGTAGACATTTGGGTTGTTTCTACTGTTTAGATATTAAGAATAATGCTGTTTTGAACTTTTGTACTTGTTATGTAAATGTTTTTGTAGTTGTTTATTTTCTTTTTTAAAACTGTTTTTAAAAGATTTTATTTAATTTTTAGAGAGAGGGAAAGGGAGGGAGAAAGAAAGGGAGAGAAACATCAATATGCAAGAGAAACATCAATTGGCTGCCTCTCGCATGCCCCCAACTGGGGCCCTGTCCCACAACCCAGGCATGTGCCCTGACTGGGAATCAAACCAGTGACCTTTGGGTTCACAGGCCTGTGCTCAACCTGCTGAGTCATACCAACCAGGGCTGCAGTTATATATTTTCATTTCTTTTAGGATTGCTGGGTCACATGGAAAATCCATGTTTAGCATTCTGAGAACCATCAAGCTTTTCCAAAGTGACCACACCATCTTACACTAGCACTAGTAGTGTATGGGGGCTCCAATTTTCCACATCCTCATACACACTTGTCATTATCTTTTATATTTTAGCCATCCTAGTGGGTGTGAAGAGGTATCTCACTATGGTTTTGATTTGCATTTCTCTGATGGCTATGGATGTTGAACATCTTTTTGTGTGCTTATTCGCCATTTGTATATATTTTCTGGAGAAATGTTTGTTCAAATCCTTTGCTAAATTTTTCAACTAGTTTGTCCTTTTTTATTTTTGACTTGTAAGAATTTCATATATATCCTAAATAATAACTCCCTTATCAGATATATGATTTGCAAATATATTCTCTCATTCTGTAGATCGTTGTTTTTTCTTTAAATTTATTGATTTCAGAAAGAGGAAAGAAGGAAGAGAGAGAAACATCCACTTGTTCCCCTTATTTATGCATTCATTGGTTGATTCTTGCATGTGCCCTGACCTGGGATTGAATGCATACCACAGCCTTGGAGTACCGGGACAATGCTCTAACCAACTGAGCTACCCAGCCAGGGCATTGTTTTATTTTCTTGATGGTGTCCTTTGAAGCACACACATTTAAATTTTGGTTTAGTTTCATTTATTTTTTTTTGTCACTTGTGTATCTCATCTAAGGATCCTTGGCCTAATCTTGGTCACCAAAATTTGCTCCTATGTTTTCTCTTAAGAGTTTTATAGTTTTAGCTTTTATATTAAGGTCTTTGATCCATTTTGACTTAATTTGTGCATGTGTTGGAAGAAAGAGGTCCAACTTCATTCTTTTGCATGTGGAAATTCAGTTGTCCCAGAACTCTTTGTTGGAAAGACTTTTTCTTCCCCTATTGAACTGTCTTGGCATTATGGTCAAACATCAGTTGACGATAAGTGTTAGGGTTTATTTCTAGACTTGTATAACTTTTATTGGTCGCAAATTTGCTTGAATTTAGCAACCTGAATGACAAATCAAACATAATTTGTGACTTGGCCTTCATTGTACCATACAAGTGTCTCCCCAAATTGTCAGCTTTTACAGTTCTGATATGATAAATAGACATCAGAGAAACACAAAATGCTTAGAGTTTGAGTTGACTGTGGATTTGTTTGATCAGTAATTTACCAGCACCTCTAGCCTAGGTCCTGCAGAGTAGTATATTTTATGCTGGTTTATCATTTGCACTTTATTTATAGTGAAGTAGTGTTGTGTAAGTTCTGTCTGTCTGTCACAAGAGCTTGGAAAGGCAAAGAATATGTGTGTTTGCACTAAATCTTTTCAAAACTCTCTTCTTATCTGGACCCACATTTCTTGGATCACATTCACCTGACCGGGTTCTGAGGCGCTGGATAGAGGAGTGATTAAGGTTCAGTTCTAACTGGAGTTAGACTGCCCAGGCTCAGACCTGGGCTTGTCTGGAATCTGTCAGACATTGGGCAAGCTATTAAACTTTCTTGGTCTCAGTTTCTTCATCTGCAAAATGAGAATGAAAAAGTCCTTGGTATAGTGCCTGGCACATAGTAGATGCTCTGTAAATGCTCTTGTTATTATTCTGTAAGATTTAATAAGTATGCACCTTGGCTGGTGTGGCTCAGTGGATTGAGCACCAGCCTGCGAAGCAAAGCATCGCCAGTTCAATTTCCAGTCAGGGCACACATCTGGGTTGCAGGCCAGCACCCCCGTGTGGGGCGTGTGAGAGGTAACCACACATTGATGTTTCTTTCCTTCTCTTTCTCTCTTCCCCTGATGCAGACCCCAGCTTGTGGGGTCCACCACATTGTGGATGAGGCACAAGAAATTCACACAGACTACCGAGTCCTGTGGAGGAAAAGCATGGCTTCTCTCTCAAGAGGAGAAAAAGCCTCCATCCTTGTCTTGACAAGCCTTTATTGCTTTTCTCCAGGTACATTACCTGATCGTCCTCATTTACTATGCACAGGTTCGTTTTAGGTGGTTACCTTTTACAGAAAACAAAGGAGCCAATGCCACTAATTACATCACAGAAGAAAGATATTTACAAATGCAAAGGGAAAAGTGGTTGAACCCCTTACACTCCATACTGGGGAGGTTTAGCACAGACTTTAGGAAGTTACAGTAAGCACTTGCTGCCTCAATTTAGGGTGAGGGAGTTTTAGCAAAAGCAAGTCTCAAAGCGGCCTAGGTACAATGCAGGCCTGATTCCCCATGGGAGAACCTATCTGTGGGTGTGGGTCCTATCTGGGCCCACACCACACAGAACGGTCTCCTATATTCCCCTCTCTAAAAAATTAAATAAATAAAATATTTTAAAAAAAATTTTTTTAAAGATTTAATAGTATGCAAAAAAAGAGAATTCTTTAACTAAAACCATTGGGAAAACACTGAATTAAGGCTTTTTTCTGTAGGAATTTTCAGAGCTTTCCATTTGCTCATGTGCATTGTGACTCTACACTGGGGTAGCAGAGGATACAGCTTTCTTCAGATGTGTTCTGTCCTGGAACACTTTCTGTCTGAGCCTCCTTGTTCACACTTCTGCAGAAGTTCCAGTCCAGGGAGTGTAAGTCTGGACCCTGACGGTGGTACTTCACCTGCCTTTTGGCTCTTCACTGGGGAGAAGATTCCTATAGTCATTGTTGCCCAAAGTCTGGACCAAGAGAGAGGTCTAGTCAGTAACTAAGCAGATAGCTGTGTGCCTAGTACCATAGCAGACAAAGACCAGGGTTTAACACATAGCTTAATGAAGATCTGTCGAGCCCCTGCTACATGGTAGGCCCAGTTCCAGGTGCTGCAGATAGAGACGTAGACAAGAGAGTTTTTGCCTTCCTGGAGTTCATAAGTATACAAGAGACTAGAATGTGGCTCTGAAAGGGCTGGAGTATGTCAGCACGAGTGAGTGGAGGGCGGGAATTCAGATAGGCAGGCTGTCATTATTATTATTATTATTATTATTATTATTATTATCATCATTATCATTATTTATTCTATTACAGTTGTCCCAATTCTTTTTTCCATTTCCCCCCCTCCACCCACAAGCTGTCATCTTAAAAAATAAAAAGGAATCTGCTGGGTGGGGAAGGCAAGGGGGTTTTAGGTTGGAGGGGAACAGTGTGAGCAAAGACCCTAACTGCCCACCGAAGGGACTGGCTCTTTGCCCTGCTGCGTCCTCACTGAGCAGGAGACTGCGCCCCCTACACACCACCTCACACCCTGAAGAGCTTGTTTGGAATATCTAAAGTGGTGACTAATTTAAAAAAATTATTCAGTAATTTATGAGTATATTCTATGAAAACCTCGCACAATGAGGAATCTGTGAACAATGTAGTTGCCTGTTCATCCCCCACCCCCTTCAACCCCACTCTTTCC